AAACCAGAAAGACGGGGAAGAGGAGAAAGTGGTGATAACTGAACTTGGGTTTCAGAGGGGTTGCAATTAATGATAAGGACAAGAGCTAGACAGGAGATTCTCTAACTTTGATGTGCATATAAATCCCTGAATTTCTTGTTGAGATGCTTATTTTGATTCAATAAGTATAAGTGGGCAGACCTGAGATTCTGCATTCCTATCAGGCTTCCAGATTACATAGATGCTTCTTGTCCAGGAATCTCATTTGAGAGACAGTCAGCTAGAATGGTACTCCTCAACCCTATCAGTAAGTCACACCTCCTTGAGGAGTTTAAAAAATATAGAGACTAGACCAGTCTTGACTGGTGAATCAGGGTTTCTGTGGGTTATATTTAATTTCTCTGGATTGGATGTAGAATTGATATATTATGAATCTCGAAATTATTCTACAGTGAGGCCATGATTGAAAGTCTTTGGCCTTTGAATGTGAGTTTCTTAGAGACCAAGATCATGGCAGGAAGGAGGGCCATGTAATTGAGAGGCCAAAATGTTGAAAGTGTCATGTTTGTGGTTATTAAAATAATTAGAAATTATGACAGGAAATGTGCTGGATTAAGTGACTATGAGTCCAGAGGTCTGTAGATGACTACAAAGAAAAAAAATATAGAAAGTGGATGACATAATATGATGGCATGAGATTCAAGGCAAAGCTGTTTGGAGAGAATGGTCTAGAATAGATAGGCCAGAACAAGGAGGACACTTACAGACCTCCCCCCACCCCCAGGATGAGTGTATGTTGGATTTGGGAAGTCAAACATCCACCACTTGAGAGAACTCCAGAAAAAACACAGCAGCATCATGAAGGGTTAGATTTTAGTTTTTAAAAAAATGAAGAAAACAATCTAGAAAGAGTTTGAAGTTTGGGACTATTTTGCTGCTGCATTCCGAAGCAGTGTGGAAGGCTGCGGAGACTTCTACAGAGTGGGAGATGGGGACTCACAGAGCAGTATGGGGATCCTAGTGCAGGCAGTGAGTGATGACCTGAGCTTCTTGTGGAGATGTGGTCTCAAAGCAGGACATCGCGGCAGCTGGGAGTACTGGCATGAAGGGAACAGGGGGTAGGAGACTAACCAGAAGCTGGAGGAGCCCACAGCTCACCTCTCCACCGGCTATTTCTAAGCAGCAGTGAACCCTCTGTTTCTTTAAACAAAGGCATTACGAGTGAGCCTGGTATGAAAACAGAGCAAAACTGAGCTTCTCCGGTTAATCTCAGAGTTGGGGAGGAGGGCCATGTCCCCCACAAAACCCTGGGGGTCTCGACAGTACTTCTGGGGTTCTTCAGGGGCCCCCAAAACTCAGGTCATAATCATTGCTCCAGCACTAGCAAGAGATTTGAGAAAAATGCAGAGGGATATTTGAAAGTAAAGATGGTTTACCCAATAATCATGGAGGTCTTTTTAGATCTTGTCAATTGTGTAGAATGCTCATTTTCTTCCATGTAATAAACTTTCAAATAAACAAGTTGTTTGCAATATCCCTTAGGATCTTTTATGTCACTTATGATCAGGATTTTATCACTATTATTAACTGATGTGATTTAAAAAGAAGAAACCATAGTTTTCAACAGTCACAGGTTAGGTCAGATTCTCCAGAAGCAAACTATGAGGCCAAGATTTGAATGCAAGAGGTTTTTTTATGGAAGCATTCCTAGGAGAGAGAACTTTCTAGGTGGGTGGAGCATGCTGGACAGAAAATGAGAAGCCCAGTACGTCTGGACATGCAGGTGTCACCTCAAGGAGATAGCTTCAGCCTCATCCCGCAGGGGAAGTCTGGAGAATAGCAGCTCAGATTCTGACCCCAACTGGACACAAAGCATATTTCCATACCCATGAGACAATGGCTAAGGCAGAGGTTGTGAGGCAGGGGAGTTGTGAACCCTTAGGCATTTCGAGACAGAGTCCAGGAGTCTGAGACCCATCTTTCAAAGAGTAGCAATTATGGGTCCTTGAAAGAAAGGTACTATGAGCACACACATACGCACACACAAAGTGGATCCAAGACCAACTCAGGGAAACCCAGCAGAGCCTTCTATAAGTAGAAAGCTTTCTTTAGAATGGCATAGATATGCTATATAAAGATTAGATTTAAAAAATTAATGTCTGCTTTCAATTATTATCAATGATAATTAATGATAATTGATCATTATTGTCAACACTTCATAGCAGTATGGATTTTGCTACCTTCCCTCTTGTGTTTCTAATGAGATCATATTACTATACACATACAGCCAAATTTCTTAAAATTCTTGTTTATTGATTTATTTTGATTTAACTACATAAAATAGCAATCTTAAATCTTAAGTTTAAATGAATACATTAGTTTTTGTTTTTTCCCAGAGTGTGTAGAATTTTTAATATATTTTACATTTAAAAAGAAACTAGAAAAGATATTTTCTTCCATATTAAAATATTTTGTAATTTCATTGATTTTCAATGCCCTGTGTCATGTTCCTTTCTTTTTTTTCTTTTTTTAAATTTAATTTTATTTTTTTTCGGTGTTCCAAAATTCAGATTTTGAGACAATCCAGGTCAAGAGAGTATGACTCTCTGATCAGATATATCCAAGCATGGACCTGACTTAAAGTGCTGTCTGTATTTGGAAACAAAAAATGCATGTTTTCAAGCTCCACTGTTTTAAATGGATTCCACTCTGTTTCTCACTACCATAGTGTACATACCAAGAAACTTTCTCCATTTCTTTTTTATTATTATTATGTTATGTTAGTCACCACTTAGTACATCATCAGTTTTTGATGTAGTGTTTCATGATTCATTAGTTGCATATAACACCCACTGCTCATCACAAGTGCCCGCCTTAATACCCATCACCAGGCTCACCCATCCCCCCACCCCCTCCCCTCTAAAACCATCAGTTTGTTTCCTCGAGTCCACAGTCTCTCATGGTTCGTCCCCCCTCCAAGTTCTCCCCTTTATTTTTCCCTTCCTTCTCCTAATGCCCTCCATACTATTCTTTATGTTCCACAAATAAGTGAAACCATATGATAATTGACCTTCTCTGCTTGACTTATTTCACTGAGCATAATCTCCTCCAGTCCCATCCATGTTGAAGCAAAATTTGGGTATTCATCCTTTCTGATGCCTGAGTAATATTCCATTGTGTAAACGGACCACATCTTCTTTATCTATTTGTCTGGTGAAGGGCATCTTGGCTCTTTCCACAATTTGGCTATTGTGGACATTGCTGCTATGAACATTAAGGAGCATATGGCCCTTCTTTTCACTACATCTGTATCTTTGGGGTAAATACCCTGGTGTGCAATTACTGGGTCATAGGGGAGCTCTATTTTTAATTTTTTGAAGAAACAACACACTTTTCCAAAGCAGCTGCACCAACCTGCATCCCCACCAATAGTGTAAGAGGGTTCCTCTTTCTCCACAACCTCTCCAATTTTTGCTATCCAAGATCAAAAAGAGGCGGTTCCGTGGTGTAATGGTGAGCATTCTGGACTCTGAATCCGAGATCTAAAAGAACTTCTCAAACTCAACTCCCAAAAACAGATAATCAAGTAAAAAAATGGGCAGAAGACATGAACAGACATTTCTCAAAACTTCTTTAGTTTTAGCCATTTTCAAATGGCTAACAGACACATGAAAAAATGTTCATCAGCATTAGCCATCAGGGAAATTCAAATCGAAACTACATTTAGATACCACCTTATACCAGTTAGAATGCAAAAACTGACAAGGCTAGAAATGTTTCACCATTTCAAAATTTGTATCACTACAAACAGTTGCCCTTAACTACATCCTCATAGATTTATTTCAGGATTGTTGTTGGTTTTTGCTTCCCCCTTTAAATTGTGGCTTCTTGTCTAAGGATTAGAGAAGCATTATTTTAGAGTCCCTATGTTGGATGTAATTTAGAGCTGTACCACATCAAACCCACTGACAAGATTTAGAGATTAATTTCCAGACCTCTTGTGGTGCCAGCAAAACTCCTTAAGATTTTGAAAATGGCAACACTGTTGACTCTCTACTGCTAAAGATTACTTGTATCCATTATCCCATCACTGCAAAAGAAAAGTTTAAGTGTGGCAAATATAAATGTTCTGCTTTATGGAAAAACCTGTGCATAGAAAAAAAAGAGGAAGAAGAAGAATCAATTTATAGAACAAGAAATCGTTTATCCTCCATTAGGACAGCTTATACAGCTGTATCTCCTTCCTTTCAATCCATAAGGATAACATTGCTGTTGCTAAATGTTATTTGCATGAAAAAATAGTTCAGTATTTTTGAGCAGTCACGTATTAGGTCAGGGTCCCCAGAAGCAAACCAAGCCTAGTGATCCACAAAAAGAGAACTTTGAGTATAATGTATATGCTCTTTGGATTATATTGAAAGTTGATACAAAACCTTTTTTCCTCCAAGTATTTTGGCTTGAAAGCATCTCCAAATATGTGTTTGCTACATTTTAACATAAATGCGTTTTGGGGGAAATTTAATCCATATGTTTCAGCAAGGTTACATGTAAATCATCCAAATGTTGGTTTATTAGAGCTACATGATGTCTAATATGCCTTTTGAGCTCTTTTAATAGTCTTTACATTCTTTTGTGAAAAGCCGTGAGTAAGTTGCCAAGAGTAAACAAATCGAATAGCAAAAAGCTTTGAGTTCAGTTTGAAATGCTTAGCCTATTATTTTTGATTGGGTTCTGAACTTGGCAGGGCTCATTCCCTGTTCCTGCCCTCAGGGCGAAGTGAAAACCATTTGAACACTGTATTTCCCAATTGGTTAATTGACATTTGAGAATTAATGAAGTACAGACAGAATCATGTTTGGCAGGTGAGTGATACTTTACGTGACCTCAGAAAGTTACTTCCTCTGGTTTGCAGAAGCTCAGAGCATGGAGCAATGTTAGACAAATTATGAAGCGTATGTTAGGACAGACAGCCGTTGAGGGATCCATACTGGGGATTTCTCTATTTCTCTTTGCATCTTTAGGTGGAATGGTTGAAAAATGAAGACATCATTGATCCCGTTGAAGATCGGAATTTTTATATTACTATTGATCACAACCTTATCATAAAGCAGGCCCGCCTCTCAGATACTGCAAACTATACTTGTGTGGCCAAAAACATCGTTGCCAAGAGGAAAAGCACGACAGCAACTGTCATAGTCTATGGTGAGTGAGCTGTCCAAGTCTCAATCTAGTTCACGTCAAACTTCCGTTTCTCGTTTTAATTTAAAATCTCCAGGAGAGGCCCTTGGCAATCCGCATCGCTACTCTCTCCCAGCCTCGGGCTCCGCCAGTGAGACTTACCTGCTTCCCTGACACTCATAGAAAGACTAGGCTTGGAAATTCCTAGCCCTTGTCAGTGAACTTATGGGGAAGATGAAGGAAAGCTACCTGAGCACTGACACCAGAGCCAGCAGATGGCCCTGCATCTCTAAGCCCGCCACTCTCTGTACCCCGGACCCCCCAGAGCTAGAGTTGGGAGATGGAGATGCTTGGGTCATCCTGCTCATCCATCTGGAGCTCAGTCAGGTAAAGGAGCTGACCTGTTCCCCCAGACACATCAGATCAACTTTGACTTCCTGGAACTTGCCTCACTCACTCCTCCAGGGTCCTTAGAGTGAAGGCGAAAACTGCTATCTCCGTGGCCCTCATCTAACCACGAGGCAAAGTTTAACAGAATGATTTCTTCCGGAAGCTTCCCTTCCACACGCTGCTCCTTTCTAGTCCAGCTCATCTCTGATGGGGCCTCTCCTTTCTCCAGAAATACTCAACAGTTCCACTCCCAATTTTGCTCTAGCATGTGATGCTTTTATTTCTCCACACTTTTTAGCGCTCGCTTGTCTTCCAGGCATTCTATGTCTGAACTTGTCTTCCAGGCATTTCCCTAGCGGTGCAGTAAGCTCCATTCTAGATGGAGAGACCACTCTATGCATTTCTCACAGCACCAGACGTGCAGAAGGTCCTCATATGCTTAATGATTTATTGTATCAAAGGTCACTTAACAACCCTGGGAAGTATTTTGAGGATATGCCACCTCTTACATGAGATGCCTATGTCACACCACCCACTTAGGGAAGCTTCTCATGGCTGCATTAGTGTTAAAGGATATTCCAAGGGCCTTCGGGTGTGGGTGACTGTGAAGGAAGGGCAGCTATTGGCAAGTATCTGGCTCATGGTACTTACTGCTGATAGTGCCCTTCGGATGGATGTCTCCATGCTGTAACGAGTTACAAGAAACAGGAGCCACTGTGATGTTCCAAAGGCTAAATATGGTGATGCTTTAAATCTCTCATTTTCATTACAAGACAGATACAGACTATTTTTTAATCTTCTGAATACTCTGAAGCTGAATTTCCTCGTCAAGATAATGGCTGTTAAATTGTAAGCTGTTGCCTCTCTTCAGTCACAATGAAATGATTCCTCTTTTTGTCTTTTTCTAAACCGGCTGAAGGACTTGATTAACAATTTGAAGGGCAAAAGAGAAACGGAGCGCATCACAGCACGTAGTAATCATAGATAACTAATGAAGACAGACTCTCTGTGTATGCATTATATAGATGCTTAATATATATGCAAATCTCTCTTCCTGTGTATAGCATGCTTTCAATATCTATAAATATAAGCTGAACATTGTTGTTAGAAAGAATCAAACACAAGGAACTTGAACATTTTGAGTTCAAAAATAGCACTGGACTAAGTGTCAGGAGACTTGTGCTCTCAGACTAGCTCTCCCTCTAACTGACCCTAAGTGGGTCACTTGTCCAGGGTGCTAGGAGCCTGTGTCTCCTTCTCTGTAGAATGGGAGAATAAGTCTGGGACTTTCACGTTCCTTTTTTTTTTTCTCTAGAAGTTTATGATTATTCATTTCTCATTAAAATCCTACTGGGCGGGGGCGGGGGGAACCTACCAGAGCATTACTTGTATACTATAACCCCAAATATTGGCCTGCCAGGATGCTAGTAAGCAATTTACACTGACAATTCCATGACATCTGGTTTTGTAAAGCTGAGCAGGTTAAGTTGCTTTCTGGAACACTGACTGAAACTCAACCTATCAACCATCTGTTTGTCCTTCTCATGGCCCCATAAAGGAAGTCGTCCCAGGCTTATAGATAAGGCTCACCAGAAGTCCACAGCAAAACATATACATCTAATGAGTACTTCATTTTTGAGTCTGCTGTGTATATTTATTTTTGTTAGTATCATGCTTAGATCAAAAATACATATCTGTTATAGAAAATTTGGGAAACACAGAAATGGTCAAAGAAGAAAAGGTCCATAACCCTGTCATCTTGTCATTCAGAAACAACTTTCAAAAAGATTGATATGCATACTACTGGTATTTTCTATGGATAGATAAGATTTTAAAATAAGGGGTATAAATATATTTTTTGCTTAGAACATAATGTTGAAATACTCATATATTATTAAATAGACTTCTCTAGAACCATTTTTAATGGCTGCCTAGGTGTCAGTCACATGAACAGGCATCTACTTTACCATTTTCCTATTGTTGAACATTACAGTTGTTTACAGTTTTTTACCTTTATATAGAAAGTAACTGTGATGAAAAAGCACTCTTGTCTGAGTCTGTATGTACAACACACTTATGATGATTTCCCATTGCATAGGCTTCTAGAAGAGGAGATGCCGGGTGTATGATGTACACCTGTATGGTGTACCCGAATGTCCAGCCCCCTTCTTTATGATCAGGAGGTAGACACTCATTCTCATTGTATTGGGTTTTAACTACCAGCAAATAATTTTTTGTTAGCAAATGCTTAATTACAATAATTGAATCTCAACTCACAATATGTAAGTACTAAAATATACCAAAGTATTTTCTAGAGGGAGATCTCCAGAGGTGAATAGTGAACAGAGCATTAGAATGTAGGTTTTACAGTCATACCTATACTGAAGTCTCCATGAAACACCATAAGAAGCCTTTACACACAGCATGGATATACATTTCAATTACATAAACTAATTGCCAATTCAATCAAATAGCTACTCAATTAGTTTAAAATCTAGCAATATTAAGGCTGTTTTTTAACCAGGTTCACTGGGTTATAGAAACTGACTAAAAGTCCATAAAGGGTTGTAATGTTTACATATGCTAAGAAACAAACTAATCAATCATCTGCTATTAAGAAAGAGCTACATGATTTTTTTCAGTTCTCATACTTCAGATCCACCTTCAGCCTTGGCATAAAGATGTAAATATTTATTATTTGAGATAAGCTGTCAAAAATAATTTTTGAAGCTTGAATAGGTAAGGGGAATATATATTTCTAAGAACACTAGCCAAGGAAAATAGAACACAGTTCTATTTGTTTTTCTGAGTAGGTGAATAAATTTGGGTAATCCATTTTATTTTTCTCTATGCTTAGATTCTTCTGCTCTTTGATAATACTTTGAATGAAATGATGGCCTGGGTCCCTTTTAGATTTGAATTTTTTAATTTTTTATGGTCACTTAGCAGATGAGTTTTTGTTTATGTGTTGTGTGTGGTTTGTGTGTCTGTGTGTGCATGAACACACATGTAATTCACATTTTGTGTTTACCTCCTTCCAGTCAATGGTGGCTGGTCCACCTGGACAGAGTGGTCTGTGTGTAATAGCCGCTGTGGACGAGGATATCAGAAGCGCACAAGGACCTGCACCAACCCAGCACCACTCAATGGTGGTGCCTTCTGTGAGGGGCAGAGTGTGCAGAAAATAGCCTGTACTACCTTATGCCCAGGTAAAAAAAAACAGTGTTCTCATTGCACATGTGTCTTCCCATTCCTGTATTCTTGACCTGAATGTGTGATAAACATTATTCATATCCATCATACCAGTAAATGCTTACATTGTTGAGAAATCAAATCTTTTTCACCCAAACTGTACTTAACTTTATTACCCAAACATGCAAAATAGAATAAAACAAGAGATTAAACACTTAGGGACATAATCCCTCTCTATTACTCAATGAAACTGCTGGAGCCAAGATTATAGGTTTTGTAATTCAAGGGATTGGGCAGCACTGAAAGCCACACATTTTAGGAATAACAACCCTTGATCTTCAAACAGCCATGGATATTATTGGGATTAAAATTTAAAAAATGTTTTAGACTGAAATATTTGATATTTAGTGTCAGTTTCTGGGCAAGGGCAAATAAAATATTTGGAATGAATTAAAAGGAAGGCAAAGCTTTGTGACACATGAGCTAATGGATTTTGAAAATACAATGCAGTCAGCTCTTTATTGTCTGTACATGTTGGTCACCTGTTTTTGTGAGTTATTTGCACTGGCACCTATGGCGAGATTGCATCCCTCTGCCACCAAGCATCTTTTTGTCCTGTCTCATATTGTCACCAGCTCTTATCCTAGGCAAATTGAAGGTGCAATTTGCCAAACTCAAAACCAACTAAAATGCTTAATTATATGATATATTAAAAAGTTTAGCTAAAATGACTTTGAAATAATCTATAAATTTTGTACATTCCATTGAGCTAGCTGTTATGATATCAATTTCATTTTTTATTTATTTGTATTTTGTTTTTCTGTGATTTCATTATTTAGAAACAGTGTCCTTACTTCCCTTTATTTAGTCTATATTTTGTTTTATCCATCCTCTAATAAATAGTTTATCAGAGATGGGTTGTACGAATGAGCTGGAAAGAAAAATATAATCTATATTTTATATTCCCAAGTGTCCATTTTCAAATATCCAAACAGTATCCCATACTGAAACCGTTGAGAGATTTTATTTGTGTAACAAATTTTGACACTTAGCTAGGTTTAGAATTTCAATATTTTACCTTATACTCTCCTATATTTTATATAGATGTTGACTTCCACAATTGAAATTGCATTGAACATTCTGACTTGAAATAAAAGTGTGTGTGTGTGTGCGCACGTGTGCGTGCAAGCACTTGCGCACGTGTGCTTTAGGATGATCTAGGTCAAAGCAAATGTCTTTTCTCCAAATAGCTGGGAGTTGCTTAAATAGCCAACTCTGGATGATTGAAATATTAATGCTTTCATAATTTTTTCATATGAGTATGTTTATATCGCCATACACGTTATACATAATATATTTACACAATAATTTGAATATGAAATCATACAGATTTCCTAAACCATGTAGACCACTAAAATTGATATAATTTCTATGAATATGTAAGTGTAAAATGTTATATATATTAGATGTTCAATAAATGATGTTTGGCATTGTTTTATATTTAATTCTAGGTAATCATAATTATTTATATATTCAGGAAAATTTTCAAATTTAACTACTCTTTAATATTCTTGTATTAATTATGTAAGAATTTTTTAAGAAGTCATTATAAGTGTGACTTTAGTGAAATTTAGTCTACATTTTTCAACTTAGAATTTAAGTTGTGTGTTTTTAAGATAGAAATATATCAGCTCAGTATCACTGAGATTACTAACAAGTCAGCAACAAAAATTAAGGAGAAAGTTAGTCAGTTCTAAATAACTGAATCACAGCAAAAGAATTAGGAATGCATGTAAATATTATTTGTAAAATAAAAATAGAAATTTCTATATCATCAAATAATGGCATAGAATTACCAAATCATATATGGAAAATAATAGTCATTTCAACAAAGCATTGAAGGTCTCAACAGAATCAAGATGCCTGGATAAAAAAATAAAATGAAAAGAGTATTTAAGACAAAGATGGATGATAGATAGATAATAGATGATGGACGGATGAATGGATCAGATAGATAGATACATAGATACATAAATGATAGATATGGATGGATAGATGGATGGATGGATGGATAAATAAATGGATAGGTAGAGGAATAATTAGATAAGGATAGGTGGATGCATGGAAAGTTGGGTCAGTGAGTAGATAAATAGACTTCTTCCCCATCGTACCAACCTCTTCTCCATATTGCCACACAGGTTTACCTTCACTGCTCACATGACACTATGCATGAAGAAACCTTGGCTCCAGAAAGAGGTCCCCTAATTTTCAATGCAAAATCCAAAAGCTTCCCTTTTAAGAGAAAAAAGGGGTGCCATCATGATCTACTTTTATGTACCTCCTGGTTCTCATCAGTTCCTGGCGACAACATTGGTTTCTGTGCCTTCCTTTAAGCAATTCCTTGCCTTGGTCAGTAAAGATACAGTCACACCCTCAGGAAGAAAATTTCACAGAACCCCGATGACATATATCTCCCATGCTCACTTCTTAGCAGCAGACATGAATGCAATCCTCCTTGATGGGGCATTTTCTTCAGTTTTCTGTTTTGTTTTATTTGTACATGAGCCCTACTCCCTTCTCCCCACAAGTAGCTGCTTCTCCATCTGACCTTCTGCTGGTTTTTGTGTGTGTGTGCGTGGCAGTGGATGGCAGGTGGACTTCATGGAGCAAGTGGTCTACTTGTGGGACCGAGTGCACGCACTGGCGCAGGAGGGAGTGCACGGCGCCCGCCCCCAAGAACGGAGGCAAGGACTGTGATGGCCTCGTCTTGCAATCCAAGAACTGCACTGATGGGCTTTGCATGCAGAGTAAGTCATTTTGAGCAAACAAAAGACACATGCGAGGCCTGAGGTTTAACCATTTGGATTTCTTGGAAATATTAGAAATTAAGAATTCCAAACAACAGGGAAAAAAATGCAGGAATATGCCAGAATACTAGCTCTGTGTCAGAATTGAAAGAACTAATCTCCCAGGAACCAGAATGAATAATAACTGTCCAGTTAACAAATGACATACACACTATTGAGTTCTCATGAGCGAAGAGTGATTCAGTCATATCCATGGGGAACTGTCACCCTTTCCAGACTAGGGAACCATTCCTTAGTTTTATTTGAATGCATAAAAGGGCACCCCAAACTCCTCAGAGTAGAATCGCATGACTTTGATAAAGTAAGCTTTTATTCCTAATTCATGGCCATTACTGAACCAATGTCCATGAATGTAAAATACATATAAAGCCCAGGAAATGGTTCTGCAGATAGATTTACCAATTTACAGCGAATGCTTAGTGGGAACATCTCTGTAAGTCCTTAAAAATGCTAGGCTTGTGTTAGTGTTTGTTTAAAGGAAATAATGTTAATGAAACAAAAATTTTAAAAATGGGTGTAGAAGGTTGACTAAGGAATATAATGAATGAGGAGGCTAAATAATCCCCATTTTTCAAGACCTCGTTTCTCAGCTTTTCTTGAGGAGACCATAGTTTGATTTCCATACTTGCAAACTCTTACCCCTTTCCTTGAGGTATCCTTGGATATACAAATTTTACCATCTTACATGACCACGAATTAAGGTGGTAAGAATTGTTCTGATATCACACCTATGGAGATGAATGGATCAGGCAACAGACTGTCTTTGGATCTTAACTAAGAGTTGCCAGATGTTGACATTCATTATAACATATTGTGAATTCTTTGCAAAACAGAAGCAACCACATATATTTGTGTAGAAGTATTTGTATTTATCATTTAAGAATAAAGTATTCCACTTTCACCACTTTTATGAAATTCTGTTTACCTTCCACTGCCTATATACACAAGGACCTTGAAAAAGAACCCCTTACTTAAAATACCAATAAGTAATTACATTGCTGACACAGAATAGAAATCCAACAGGCTTCTTATTTTTCTGTCCACAGTATGTTGCATTCTTTGAGACCTGGCGGCTGCTGAGTGTAAAGCACAGCTTCTGGTTATGATTTTCAGACTGCTACTGTGTATCTCACCAAGTTTGTATTAGAAATGCAAGAATGAAAAGAATACAGCTGTTTTCCTAACCATTAATCCAGAGATACAGGGTTTATTCCTCTAGGCATGAGTTTGAGTTGAGGATTAAAATAAAAACATAGCACAGCCAAGTTATTTTTTATTTTAACATTTTTTTGTAATTTAATATTCTTCCTTTAGTGGAGAACAAATTGATTCATATGATCAAAAAGTAGCAATATTTGAAATCTATCTCTCTCTCTCTCTCTCTCTCTCTCTCCCCTTGTTCCTCATCTCTCTTCCTTTCTCTCTCTGTATTTCAACTTTGGATGATTTAACACCTACCACTTCTATTGTGCATATTTTAAAATTCCCAAAGCAACCTATTTATCAAGAAATACAATCCGGCAAGATGGAACTTTGGGTATTTAATTGGTTACACAAAATGACATTTTCTAAATTATGGTATTTGTCAAATACAAACATGACATATTCAAATTAAGACTTTCATGACATAGCATCCCCTTGGCATCTAGCTTTTTTCTTATGGCACTAATAGAATTTCTTTTTACGTACAGATATTTGTCAGTAATGGTGGCATGAAGTGGTTGTATAAATCAGGAAGAGAAACAAGGCTACAAGAGAGTGTTTTGTTGTTGTTTCCTTTTGTTTGTTTATTTTTTTTATCAAGTCTCTTGTTAGGTTGAAACATTTGAGTGTTTGGATTAAAATCAGTCAGTTAAAAAGCTATTTCCTTTTACAATTCTGATTTGCTGTAGTAACAGCCCTACTAAGTCAATAAACTCTTTCATCTGCCCTCCTATTTCTACTCTAGGGCAACAGAAAATTGTAGTCTGTACTATTGATTTCCTCAGTGATAAAAACCACAGTATTTTACAGTGAAAGTTATAGTTTCTACTTACCAGTAAGCTAGGTGTTTCTGGCATAACATTGCACCAAAGTCTTGCAAAGAAATAATACTGCTCTTGGTCCTTATTTGGGAAAACAAAGGCTTTCTAATAATGAAAGTACTCAGCTTGCAAGGACAGGGTCTATATTAAGAAATAGAATGGGGAAAAGACAGCCAGAAAGTAGCAATTGACAATTAGGGATTATCATTTAACATTTATTTACTTTAGGAGAATTAGGGTCTTTGAGGCATTAACATCTTTCATCAACATTGCAATGTTTGTCTCAAAATAAAACTAGTTACTATTAAACCAAGTGTACAATACCTCTGAAATTGTATTCCTAGTTGAAATTATATACAGATGATTCTGATATAAATGTAGACGTACTTCTAGGTAGGAGAAATTCAGAGTTTATCATAGAGGTCTGTAGAATTCAGAAACCTAGATAATGTAGTGTAGTATATTTTAAAAGCCAGATTGACACGTAAGAGCAATACAATGTGAAATATGTAGAATAGATTACTGTTAATGCCTATTCAGTAATGTGTTCAAAACAGTCATATTCAGTCACATTCCTTCCTTAACCACCACCCTCTATACAAATAACTTTGACTCAAAATATATAGAAATATGGGTGAAATATGGGTAAAATTTTAAAACTTAAAAGATATACATATACATATGTATGGAATGTACATATATGTGTGTGTCTGAGAAAAGGAGAGTGAGTCAAGTTTGAAAGAAAGAGAAATCCTCAAATCAAGATAAAACTAGAGAGGTAACTGCATGACATGAGTGGATACCAGAAAAATCCAGAGGGACATTGATCATGGATATAGATCCTAGGGATTGGAAGTGAGCCTTTTTGTTTTAGGACAGAGGTAGAGGCCCAGAGTTTGCACAAGCCTGAGGCCAAGAGTTGAAATCTAGAGCCCTTTGAATAAAGCCAGGTCTCATAAGTGGCTACTCCCACCATGAAAAACAACTAGAAAATTTTTACCCACCAGCCCAGGGAAGCCACAGGATAATTCATGACAGAGAAAATTAAAACGAAATCTTCACTTAAATAAAACCTATAATAAAACCACAATCCTACATCCAGATCTGCTGTGGAGTCTAAGATACAGTACTAAATGAATAAAAAACAAAAGATACGTAATTAATGTAATTGGTGAAACTTCTAGGGTACCAGCAGTAGCAAACAACAAGCCATTCTCTTGAGTTCTTTCCACAGCCTGAGGGCATTGGTCTCTGACAAAAATAGCCCACTCCTAGAAATGAGATTACAATACAAAGTTTCACATCCCCCAGGGAAACAGTCTGCTGCCAGAGAGAGTGCACAGCACAGTGAGTTCCTTAACACTCTCATAACATGGGCTTAGAGCAGTCTGAGTGAGACTATAAAGTAAATAAAAGTAAAAAGACAAACTGTGTTTTTAAAAAGCATATAAGCAGAAATGTAAGAATACAATATCATAAAAAGGATAGACAGTTTTGGGGGAAAATCAAATGGAATGCCTAGAATGGTAAACAATTAAAAGCTAAAACTCAGTGGAAGGTTAAAAATCAAATCAGAGACAACTTTGGATACAGCTGAAGGGAAAGTTAGTCAACTGGAAGGCAGATCCCATGAAACTTCTCAGAACACAGGGAAGAAAGATAAAGTAAATGATTATAGAGAAGGGAGGTTAAAACACAGGTAGAAAAGAACAAGAAAATCCAAATTTGCTCAAGAGAATAAAATGTAAAGGATTTTCAGACAATCCAAAGAAAGAGAGCTTATAATTCACAAACTCTCACTGAGTAAACTACTAAAAATATAAAATAAAAATTGATTCTTTAAAAAAGGACAGACCAATGAAGAGGCAGAAAATAAAATGAAAATAAAATGGAGTGAATTTGTTGAAAACCTTAACACAGCATGTGGGAAAGTGTGATCTGAGTTAAAATTTTCTAATATCCATATAGTGTTCAGTAAAAACAATAAGTAACACTATTTGCATTCAATTCCATTGATGCAAGTTTACCAATTAAAATATTAAGACTGACTACACACACAAAGGTAGATTTATAAATTCAAAATAAGGTTTTTAAGGACAGGAAAGGAACTACAACCACAAAAAACAAAAACAAACAAAAACAAAACAAAACAAAAAACCATGGTAAATGAAAACAATAATTAAGATGGTGATAGGCCAGGGATCATCACGGGGTACTAAGGTAAATGAATTAAATTTACCTGTTAAAGGAGGTTCAAAATTATAGTAAAAAATCCTGTTCTATACTGTTTAGGAGAGACATACTTAAATCTATAATTATAGAGAAAGATTGAGAGTTAGGAAGTGGAACTTAACAGTATAGTGCAAACCTTATTTTAAAATAGCTTTGACTACCTAATTAGGCTATTATTAATTCAGTTTCATCTCCCATTATGCCTAAGTAGCACATATCAGACATTGGTTTTGCTCATAGTTTTAATTTAGATGTTCGTTTCTCTTAGACTCTGTAGTTTCTAGACTATTTAGTTTTCTGAGTAATTAATCAAAAATTTTATAAATTGCTTACCCCCTCTTAGTTTTGTTTTTAAAACACTTTAGAAAATATGTGATTCCCCAATGCTAAATGAAATTTTTAATCAAAAGTCTTCGAGGGTTTCTTACAAGATAAATGGATGTTTTAAAGATATAATAATGCTAAATGTTAGCAAATGTGCAAAGTGAAGTCTCTTGTATTTTGCTAACTAGAATACAAATTTTTACAATTATTTGGGGAGCAATTTGAGAATATGAGTTAAGGGCTTTAAAATTGTTTATACTATTTGGTCCAGTAATCCTACTTTAATGAATAAATTTTAAGATATTAATCTGAATACCTAAGAAGATATATGCCAAATAAGCTTTCATTCTTTGTAACTTA